GGGGGGGGAGCAAACGCTGGCCCTCACCATTGCAGCTCAGGTTATGCTCATATTTTTATTCCTTTTATCATGAAGAGAATACAAAGGCTGGGGACAGACACATCACATGAGGGGGAGATGGTGCCGCCTCTGCCAAAGACACCCCTAAACTAACACTGGAGGGGAGTGGGCCCTCAGGGCAGCCTCTCCCATCCAGAAAATCGGGCCCGTCCGGTGAGGGGGCCAGTGGCCTCCCAGGAGTCCTGGCCGAGCCTCCAGGTGCCAGCGACGCAAAGCCAGTCCCTTTCCCAAAGCGACCTGCCCCCCCCCCAATCCTAACCAGAGTCCAGCCCCAGGCCTTTCTCTTCTTCCCCTTTTTTCTGACTGGAGACTGATTCCCGTGCTCCTTGCACTTCTGGGTGTGCTGACAGCCTCTCTCCACTCCAGGAATCTCCAGTTCTGTCTTTCAGCTCCACCCCAACACTCCGGTTCCCAATTCACTTCCTAGTCCCCTCGCCCAGAGCACAGAGCTGTGCCCTGAACCTCCAGGCCAGCGTGTCCCTCAAGGGGAGGTCTGTCCTCTGAGAGGACCCGGCCTCCCACCTACAGGGACCCCTCCCTGCGGCCTTCCTCAGCCGGCCCTGCGCTCAGCTCCCAGGGACTCTCAGCCCTGGTGCTCCAGGGACCAGGCTCCTGCTCAGGCCGTGCACGTGCACTGTAGGTGCTCAGGCCTTGGTGAGGTGCGCACAGTAGGTGCTCAGGCCTCGGTGAGGTGCGCACAGTAGGTGCTCCGGCTGTGAGCACGCACAGCATCCGTGCGGCCTGTGGAAAGCCGTTGTCAGTCCTATAAAACAGTCGCTATGGACCATGTTGGGAGTGAGAAACGTGGTTCATTGTGGGTTTGGTTATAAGTGTGATACTTGTCAGAAAGGCTTAGCAAGCTGGCATCGCAGCCACTGACCAGCTCAGGGAGGAGAAAGAGTGGCAGGAACCTCCTAGGATCCAACTGGAGTTAACACAGGTGGACATCCTCGGGCCTCCGGCCCCTCCCCTTCACCCCGATCTGGTCTGCGGCAAATCTAAACATTCGCGAATTCACAGTCATAGTTGGTCATGCGGCACATTATGAACTTCCACTGGCGGTCCCTGTGGAGAGAGAGAGGAGGTTGGTCATGCGGCACATTATGAACTTCCACTGGCGGTCCCTGTGGAGAGAGAGAGGAGGCGATGAGAAAGGACTCCATGGAAGGGCCCCCCATGAAGGGAAAGCCGTGAGCCCCCCAAGGAGCAGGTAGGACCAAAGGGACCTAACCTTCTTCCTCAGAGGACAGGACTGGAAGCCTCCAGAAGACCGAGGGGGGGGGCGTGGCTATGAGGTCAGGAGTCCTGGGCACTTCCTCACCCAGCCCTGGTGGCCCTGCAAGGGACTGACTAGGTGGCTGGCTGTGTGGTCAGCTCCCCCTGCTCCGTCCCTAACAGCTGGGAGCATTAGCATGTAGGTAACGCCATCCACAGTTCACCTTGAAGAATCGTCTCCTAACTGGGCCATCCACCTGCTCGCTTGTTCTTTCTTTGACTGAGTTCTGACCCTGTTGCACGCTCCTTCGGGAAACACAACTGCAGGGAATGAAGGCGAGGAAACCCCTGGAACCCAGAAAGGGAAAGGCGGAGGCCCGCCCTTCTTGCTGGCGTGTTTGCTTAGAGGGCGGGCGTGGGTGTGAGAGTGCATGGACTCGCTCAGCCTTGACCAGCGGGGTGTGGAGGAAGTGGGCATTTTAATTGCCCAAATACATTTCTTTTGTAGTAATTTTAGATGGTGTTCTTCCTTTACTGTGATTCCCCTGCCTTCTTACACAGGGACGCAGAACTAATTTCTTGTTGCCGTGGAGACGTCATTAAAAACATTGAGCACCAGCTCTCCTCTTACCCAGTTGCCCTTCGGGGCTATGCAACCGGTTGAACGTCACCGGCTTCTGTGGTCTTTGAGTTCTGAGGTCTTTCCTTCTCTTAGGTGAGCGCATTTGAGAGTGTGTGCATGTGTGTGTGCATGTGTGTGTGCCTGTGTGTGTGTGTGTGTGTGTGTGTGTGTGATGTGACATCATTCAGCTGTTGCTCCTCCCTGCTGAGGCAAGTTTCGTTCTAAGTACTATCTTCTTTGCTCATTTTTTACTTTGCTGCTTCTAGGAAATAGGTAACTTAACTAGTTAAAATGCATCTAAAATAAAAATGATCCCGACTGAGAACTGAGGGATCTCTTATGAGTAACATGAACGTGTTTGTTCAGGAAGCCTCTTTAGAGCTAATTAAGGCTTGTTTGTTGGCTTGTTTTGTTTTTTTTTTACATTGTGGACCTTATTAAATAAGTGAGCTTTAGTTAGGTGAGATGTCATTTCATTTACAAACATCAATATACACAGAAGATAAGTCACACCCAAACCCATCACCGTCCATAATTGAATGAGTTGATGTAAGTTTTGTTCTCTCTGCAAAGCATGCGTTGCTAACACTTCAGGAACTCATTTGCTGGGCGAACTGATTCCCACCTGACCACAAGTAGATCACATCTACCTTTAACACCTGCATTTATCCACACACCCCTCTCTCTATGTTAGTAGGGAGAAGAATTCTTATTTTCTGCTTATTGTATTGTCTTGATGTATTTAGGTAGGACTGGGAGCTGATGGTGAGAGAAAGGGGATGAACAAGTCAGTGCTTTTTATGTTAATAAAACTTCCCCCTTTCATTTCTAAATACAGTTGGTGGGTTGGTGCGCTTCTCTCCAGCCCCTCCCCTTCCGTCTTCCCACAGCCCCAAGGGGTCATGTGGAGAAACAGCCTCCAACCATGGCTGCCCTCTCCTGCTGACGTGTGGCAAGAAGAAGTGCTTTTTGAAATTGAGTGAAGGGAACAGCTTAGAGCACCATGGGCTACCAAGGAGAGGACGTCCCGCCCCGAGCAGGCTGGACCCCTCGTGGCCGGGGTGAGCGGCTCCACGCAACGCATTTGTGAGAATAAGTCAGTTCCCAGCGCCTCCCATCGTCCACCCAGTCTCTCCTGAATCCTGGACCAAGTGGGAAACCACAAGAGTGAAAACCCCAGCTCGGACTTCCTGCAGGCAGGGCCCTGGCCCGTGGCTCGTGCTGCTCCTCGGCCCTGGCCCGGGGAAGCTCACCTTTCCACCGCGGAGAAGGTGGTTGTCGCTCCGCGCATGTAGTAATCGTAGTCGTAGGACACCATGTCCATGTCCTCGCCGTAGTGGCCTGGGTACTCCGTCGTCATGTGCGGGAGGAGCAGGAGGTGAGAGGGAAGATAAGACTCGGCTGACTGCGGGGCCATCGGGCAGGCTGTGCGAAGGGAGCCTGGGAGCCTGGGCGCCCAGCCCGGAGGTGGATGGCTCTCGCAAACCGTCCCAGGCTGTGAGCAGAGGAACCACCTCCGCTCTCACCTTCCTCCTTCCTGCCAGAGACTAGACTCTGAAAAAGATGTCGATACCTCCCCAGGCCTTGGAGAAATGTTAATATCAACATTAGTTCATTCCATTCAAGTCAACTAGAACCGTGTTTTCAAACCCGATAGCGACTCATTAGGGATCATGAAATCAATGTGATTGGTTTTTGCCAAATGTGCTTTTAAGAAAGAAGAGATAGAATACGAAACATCAGTGAAATTCATTGCACACACGAAGGGTAAAGTTCTTGGGTATATGTGTAAAAACTTTGTTTTCACATGTATGTATGTATGTGTGGTGTTTTATGATGCATGTATTGTGTGGTAGTTTACATGTATGTATGTGTGAGCTTTATGATGCATGGTATTGTGTGGGAGTTTAACTGTATGTATGTATGTGGTTTATGATGCCTGTATTATGTGGTAGTTGGATCGTGTACCGGTTTACTGTGAAGGGATGGATAAGAAAGTGTCTTGAAAAAATTG